CTGTTGTAATATGTTGAATCCTGTTCTTCCAGAGAGACTTTGCCCTTAATAATGCCATACACTTTCAGGGTCTCGTTGTGTCTTCAGTGCACTGTAATGTCTTCAGTTGTAAGCTGAGATTTTTTAGAAGAACAAGGCAAAACCACAGAACCGCCAACAGAACGCACAAATGGGTGCTGCAGAGGCTCTGAAAACAAAGAGAAGTTGCGATAAATGAAACCGTTTTTCATGCAAGAAACATAAGAGTTTGCTTCATGACGGACTGTTGACTGAATAGCGTCTATAGACTAGAGCATGGTTTTGAATCCATGGTCCTCGGGACCCACCGCTCTGCACATTGTGTATGTCTCTCCACACCTGATTAAGATCATCAGCTCGTTAGGAGAGAGATCCATGAACTCAGTTGAGTGTGTCAGATAATGCCGAGTTCACACTGCATGATTTTCAAACTCGTCGGATCGCCGTTGTTTTCACACTGCGTGACTATCTGGGGTAGCAGTCAGTTGCTGCTGTGTTCACGTTGCACGATGGATCGGCGACAGGGGCTTTCACACTGCATGACTTCACAATAGGAAGAATCGCCGACAGCTCTGTGTGGTCCGCAAACTATGTTTTACAACAAAACACACGCGAGAGTGATAAGGAAATAACGCGAGAACCCGAGTGCGTCAGACCGGAGTTCTCGAGCGAGACTGGAATTATTTAAATATATATATATATATATATATATATATATATATATATATATAGCTGGTCAAGCAAATGTTTGTGCTTGTTTCTGTATGATATAATTGTTCATATATCTATCAAAATACTGATATTCTGGTCTATAACTCCTCCCCGAACTTCCCTCTGCCCTGTATCTTGGTCTCTCATTGGCTGTAGGTCATCGCCGATGTAGTTTTCAGTCAGAACTCATTGCACACAGCATGAATGTGAATCGCCGGCAGCTCCAGATATTTAGCATGCCAAATATTTTACGATTCCCTCAGATCGCGGCTTTGTTAATTCACACTGCGTGATTGTCACTCGCATGAACGAGCGCCGATTTGCCTCCGATTCTGGGCATTTGTCGGCGAGTGAAAAATCGGGCTAAAATCGTGCATAAGTGAGACATACACAATGTGCAGAGCAGTGGGTCACCAGGACCAGGGTTTAAAACCACTGGACTAGAGTTTGCTTTCAGCAGAGAACAATGCTAATCCATTGCTTTTAATAATAGACAAAGTGCATTACAAAGAACAATACAGGGATTGTTAAAGTAACAAAACATCATGCAACCAAACAAACTTAAATTCACTTCATTTCAAACTGAAGACCCCTGTGAAGACCATATATGACATTTTTGTATAATGGTATAAAAGTGTTTGTAAACCAACCTGAATAGAAAGAGTACATTTCTAAGAGCTTGGCATATGTGACTTAAAGGGGTCCTACTTTCTTTTTTCACTTTTTCAACTTTAGTTACTGTGTAATATTGCTGTTTGAGCATAAAAAAGACCTGCAAGGTTACAAAGCTCAAAGTCAACTCTAAAAGGAGATCTAATGGTTAACAGAAAACACTTCTCAAGAACTACAACAAACGGCTTGTTAGGACTGCAGTGTGCTTGCTCTGGATATCGTGAAGTCATAATATTACTCATTTAAATAATTCCCACAAGCAAAAAAGGGGGCAAGGCCTGATTAAACTGCACTGGAGACCATATTATAAACTGTAAAAAAAACAAAAAAAACAAAAAACTCTGAAACGTCCTGTAAAATCTGTGCTCTGTGCTTGCTCTGCATGATCCTCTTGTTCGCAAACATTCTCAGGGTCTGAATCAAGCTCAAATTGGTATGGCAAAATCAATGCCATCGTTAATATTTACAGCTGAGCAGATGAAACCTGTGGTTATGGTGAGGGGCGTGACATTCCAGGAACACGCTCTAAGTGGTTTGCCAATGACAACACACTGCAATACTAACCAACTGCAGAACCATACATCATAGCAGTATGAGGACAACAGTGCCAGCCTAACAGTCTGATTTTTTTATTTTAAAAAGCTGGGAAAATGGGAATTATTTTCTGTGCTAGGCCTAATCGACAATATGCCAGTGTTTGGACCTGTGAATTTTTTTCTTTTTCTATCAGCGAGCTTTAGTGATATTAAAAAGCGCAGTAAGGTGATTTTACCATTTTCAGATGGTTCGCTCCAGCTAACAGCTAACAGGTAAGCTACAACTGGAAAATGCTTGAAATAGTGCATTTGATAATAATGCTTTTATTATCAAATGCATTATTATTATTATTTATTGTGGACAGAAAGTGTTTTGAAACCAAAGTTCGTATCTTATCCACAATAATGTGCTAGTAGGCTATAGTTACAGTATCTGTCTAAACAGTTGCATAGCTCAAATATGCACAAGGTGTAACGTTACTTCTGCAGGAGTCCAGGTGGAGTCACGTTTTCAAATGTCACAAAACTTAAAACTAAAAGTGCTTTTCCTCCCTCTACTGTCCACTACAAACCGTTTTGAACTTTGTAATATATTATTTATCTTTATCGGGTGGTCTGCAGCTCATGATAGTGGTAGCTATATATTATTATGCAATTAGCATTTAGCCGAGGCTAGGAAAGTACCGTTTATTTCTATTTCTATTTGTGTGACTTGAAAATAATCAGACCAAATACCTGCTGGAGGCCATAACTCAAAAGGTTAAATAATAAAATATATTTTGTTAATATTAAAAGAAGAAACGGTAAAATGTAGTACAGCACATATGTAGGATTTTAATCATGTATCATCTGAGGTAAAATTATACGGAATTACAGAGTTTATTCTCAGTGAAATATCTGTGTAGTATTTTATTTACAATTTATTAACATTCTGTTGCACTATACTTCACTGTGTATATTGTAACATTACTCTACACTTTAATGGCACCTTATATATTTCTTATTTTAATCTTTCCTCTGTCATGGTTCTTGTTTATTGATTTAGTATAATTATAGACATGTTTCTGCTACTTTGGCAATTCTGCATGTGAAATATTTAAGCCAATAAAGTATTTTTAAGTTAAATTGACTACATACTGTATATTTTCAGTCTGGATCCCATTTTATGCACGGTGCCTCCAAAAACCAAACTGATAACAGTGATCTTTTTTTTATTGCAAAGAACAAAACAGAAAATATAATATATTATTAGTTTTAATATAGATTAAAACCATAAACATGACACATGAGAAAGAAAGAAATTGCATCTACACGTTCTGAAATTCACCTCCATCATTAATAAAACAATCAACTGAGCAGTAGCCCTCAAAGTCTTTGAAGGAATAAAACCCACGCAGGACTCCCCTCCTGCCATTCCCACCATAGCCAGGTGGGCAGTCTTTAAATATTTCACAGCACTGCAGAGAAGCACCGGGCTGCAGCCTGCAGATCGAGGTGGGGCTGCACCTGGGGCGGGGCTGCACGTGTCGCCCCGCCCACAACTGTTCTCATTGGTTAAAGGCGTCAAGTCCTGACTGGTGTCTTCGCTGCATGGTGAGTGCAGGCGAGCTACGTCTCTTGTCTAATTTGTTTAATTACAAGTTTTAATTCTAAAGTGGCGTTTAGTGTGCTGTTAAAAGGAAGGGTGAAGTAGTTTAAAAATAACATCGCGTAACTTTACTCACTCAACCATAGCACGCAAGTAACCAGGGCTGCGTTTCCCAAAAGCGTCGTAGGTCTAATGCCTTCACGTTCTGTCGGAAATGTGATAATTCTCATTCTGAAGTTGACTACGAGCTCATCGCTTTAAAGTTTCGAAGTGGGAGGGCGTTCATGTGCAATGTTTACCTAAGAAACTCGTATTTACGATAATTCCGAGAGCACGTGAAGGCAGCATTAGAAACGTTAGTGTGTGTGGTTTTGGTGGGATTATGATTAGGATACAGTGTTCCCAAAATAAGCCCCTTAAAAATTAATACAGTAGCAAAACTGAACCAGCAGAAGTAATATAGGACAAGTTAATATTAACAATAGCTATACAAAATTATTGTTTTTCTGTGAATAAAATGATTAAATGTAAAATATTTAGATATTATTATTATTAATAATAATAATGATTATACATCTATTAAAATAATTGGCAAACTACATTTATTAATAATAATTCAACAAAGTATGATTAAGTTTAACAGTCCTTGAAAGTAGAGCTCGTTTGTTATATTACACACTGTTATGCTGCTATACAGTATATGCACTAGTGCAGGTGCCCAATCCTGCTCCTGGAGGGCCACTGTCCTGCAGAGTTCAGC